GGAGTGAATGAGAGTATGCATGTGTGTTTACACGAGCCGGGAATTATGGTCTGAACGGCCATATGTTGACAAATTATGGCCATCAGTCTCTCGGTCAGCACACTGAGTGCCCGAGTCAGTCACGCCATTAATTATAAGAGGCAGACGTCCTTCGCGAGCGTCGCACACTGCCGCGTTTATGAGCCGCTCGCACAGCCGACATTTTGTTTCGGATTCGGGGATGTGTAAATGGCGGCGGGCGCACAATGCCCACCTTAAGACGGGCCCACTTTGGAGCCTCTCAAGCTGCCCGTCAAAAAGCCAACCCCACGCAGGCTCGAGTCGTGACAACAGCGATACTGTTCTCTCGGGGTAAAAACGCGCTTGTGTTGTGCTGAGGAGGGTTTCGCGAGGTGCGGTTCATTTTTTTTGCAAGGCGTGCAAAAAGTGAACGAGACAAATCGCCTTATACACATTTAGCGATGCAGATAAGTAGCCGTTGACGTGAAATGTCATCAACCTTAATTGTCGTCAACTACGTGCGGAAATCTTGGTCAACTTTCATTTGCTCATTAAGCTTGGGAAAGTTAAAAAAATAAAATAAACTACGGCCAGTAAATGGCAGCATTGGATCTCTTGGATAAGCTCTCCGTGTGTTAAAACAATGTGTCGGCTCTTAAAACATGGCGGACCCTTGGAAATGCGACCATTCCAAGCAGCTTGTGATCGATCAAAATGTTCGTCACGCTGGATCTTCATCAAAGAGTGTCACAAAAGAGAGAAAATTGGAGAATTTGAATTTAAAAGTAGAAGCGATAACATACATGCACACGCGACTAAATACGACTACGACTACTAAATGGCGCGCAAATAGTTTGTCATGTTTGTCAAAGGAAGAACTGGTTATTCATTGTCAAAACATTATTTTTGTCATTAAAAGCACATTTTCGTTGTTGATAGTAAAGCAAAAATTATTTGTCAACGTACCAGGATGCCACAAGATGGTGCCCAATGAATACTTTTATATGAAAAATAATATTTCAAACAACAGCCAATGGGTGAGTTTTTAAGTGGAGAATACGCTCCCCCGAATGGGGCCAAAAAGTTGTTGCGCAACTTTTTTTTTTTAAAGGGACATTCTGGCAAAAACATTTTTCAAAATGTCTTTGGCATCATGAGAAATAAAGAGCACCCTTCAAGCAGGCGTTACTTTGGATTCGGTGTCGTTCAACAAGCTTGAAAAATGCGATATGAACAGACCCCTTTTGGGTGCGCTGCAATTAGATTTTTTTTCCAAGCAACTTGCCCAACATTGCTCATAATTTAATAATTGCCTGAAAAAAGTATGCTTTAATGTGTGACGCGGCCCATATTTTCCAAACTGTTGAGTGAGTTTACACAAGGCTGAAAAACACATATGCGCTTGCACATACCTTCCCTGACACTCCACCCCTTGCGCTGTATGTTTATACTGGAAGTCACCTGGAGCGAGGCATGCTGGGTAGGCATTTTTGCGCACTGTTGCTATTCTCAGTATAATTTCTGGCAGTCCGCCACAGGCAGCATTAGTCGCCGCCAACATCTGTGAGCGCATGTGTGTGTGTGTGCGTGCGCTTCACGCAGACCGCGAAGGCTCTGGCAGACTCCAGTCCGCATATCATACAAACGATCCAAAGGGTGGTTTGGAGGTGCACTTCGGGGGTTGTAATGGAGGCGCTTCGCAGCCAGTAGAGTATCTATCAAGCAGGCGCCGCTATGACCAAACAAATCTGGCGGTGGTTAGAATGTACGATTTGGCCAAGAGAGGAATGCGGAGTGCACTGTGTGTTGCGTTGAAGGGGTGTGGAACGAAGGGGCGGTGCTTGTGGAGAAAGGTGACACGGAACTGTTAAACTAACACCAATTTACATAACGCAACTGCAGGATCACCGCAGAATATCAACGATTTGGGTTTTCTTTTTTTTGTTAACCCTTTCACGCACCCTGAAACCTGATAAGCTGTCCACTGTAGTAACCGCTGTGCCTCAAAGGAAGGAATGCTTTATAACAATTGTATCAAAAGTTTTAGAGGATCTGACTGTCTGTGAGACGATGGAGGTTTGGGCATAACAATTGTTCCGAACGTTAACCGACTTCGGTCATGTCATCTAAGGAGATGCTTCAGTCTACTGTCTTTTTTAAATTTTGCTGAAACGCGTTTGGTGAATTTGCTGACGGCCCACGCGAGGATTTAGCCTGTTCGTCGGCTAGCGATAGCAGATGGGCGGGTCATAGTAAAGAAGGGCACGTCCCAATACCAGTTAATCTGTATGCAGGTCTAGTTTTAAGGTACTCGTGGAATTTTAACTTAGCTTTTACCTGCTGACAGTCAATTCTCAATTGACGAATTGTCATCCTCACAGGAGAAACTCAATCTACATTCTATTGTTTGCTCTTAAGTGACAAGAGATGTTTGTTGGGTTAATAAGGACTGTTTTGATTTTGGAAAAAAAAACAAACAAATGTAGCCTGCTTGCTACTGTACCCCAAAGTAGCCAAAGGAAAAAAAAAATCGGTGTTACTTGAAAGTGGCTGCCGTCACTCGAATGTTGCAGGAGTTGAAAGCAGGCGTCGGAAACGAAGGCCATGGGGAAGCAATCCTTGTAGAGGCTCTCCAAAATCCTGCAAAAAGTCCACAGGGATCTAATCAATCACTCCAAACGGGCAAAAAAAAAAAAAAACACTCCAGCATGCCATTCTTGCCCCCTGGATTCCTGCTGGGATGCTGTTGTCTGTTTGTTTTTCCCCGCCCCGCAGAGAGATTAACTCACCCAAAATGCTTAAAGAATGTGTGATTCCACTCCTAACTTCACACAAATGTCAAGCTGAATCTCGAATATGAAATGTAATCATCTGAAAAATGTCCCCGCCTCACAGAGGTGGCATGAATGTCACTGATTGAAAAAGTTTCACGATAGAAAATGACAGGGAGGGCCGTCGATAGATGGCTTAAACCCCAAAGTTGCGCAATACGGTGTACTGATGGATTGACAAGCAACTGGAGCATGAGAAAAATGCTGCAGGGTGTGGACAGTTTCTCTCCCCTCCCGCCACCCTTTAATACAAATGAGTTTGGCCCACCAGTCTCACACATCCAAGCAGCTGTTAGCGAGGCAATAAAGCATTCACAAGACCCCTCCCCCTCACCCCATTTCCAACACAAAAGACCAACTTATCACCCCATCACTTGCTTTGTGGCATCCAAAAGAACAGCATCGCATGGAGTGACGTGTCAATCCATTACGGCTAACTGATGTGGAAAAATAGCCATTTAGGGAACACAGCACGGCTAAATATTGTACAAGCTAGCATGTCGCTGATCTAGAAATATTACAATGCTACAGAAGCAGATGATACTCGGCCAGTCAAACGAAGTACTCTTCGTTCCAAAATGTCTCAATCAACACGCAGCCTACAGCTTTTAATTAATACACACGCCGGCGCAAACCCAATCCCAGTTTGAATCGGGGCTCCATCGTAGTTTGTCACATTTGCACATTGGGTGTCAAGAGGCTAATGAGGTTGCGTCCGCCCCGTGAAGAGGAAATGACCGCAAAGAGTGAAAAGTTGACCTTGCTTAACAGGAAGCTGTCAGACACATCGCCCGGGGGGTGAACTTAGCATCCACCCGGACATGAATATCCGATGAAAGGGAAAGGCCCCCGTCATAGTGGGAAAAAAACCCAAATTGTAAATGGGTCATTTCAAGCGTTGAATATCAACTAAGGTTACTGTTATGAACTTCAGCTCTTTTATAAGGTTATAAAATTGGGTCTTGGGTGAATATATATATATTAGTCTATTAATGACATTGACGATCTATTTTATATTCATGGTCGTTCCACAAGTCATCTCATTTTAAGCGTCTTTCACGTCGAACATGCAAATGCATTCATGGTGTGACAAAGGAAGTATATTAACACGAGGAAAAATTCAACTGAATTTCTTCAGTGTTTTTCAAATAACATTTTCTTTCTTTTCTTCATACTGTATATGCGTATTTCTAACTGACATGTTCAAACTGTGTTACATGTTCATGTTTTTACATCTATAAATGTTGGTACCGTTTTACACGTCGTAGTTGGCGGCCATTTTATTGGAAATGGCTACCACGAACTGACGTTGTAACGCACCGATTCGTTTTGTCACGTAAACAAGGTTCGACTACATACATACATACATACACACGATAAACATTTTGGGGGGAATTTTTTTTGGTCTGTTTTTCGTTTTCAGAATCATTTGTTTTTTTCTGAATAACTGTTTTATCCCTATTTTGCCCCGTTTTTTTTTTATGACAGTAAAAAAATATTTTAAAAAAATAATCATTTTAAAGGGAAAAAAAATCAATTAAACTGAAATCACTACAGTACTTTGCAAAACTGAAATTAAAAAATATATACCCCGAGGTTCGACTACATACATACATACATACATACATACATACATACACACGATAAACATTTTTGGGGGGAATTTGTTTTGGTCTGTTTTCGTTTCCAGAATCATTAGTTTTTTTCTGAATAACTATTTTATCCCTATTATTTTGCCCCGTTTTTTTTTTAATGACAGGAAAAAAAATATTTAAAAAAAAATAATTTTAAAGGGAAAAAAAATCTATTAAACTGAAATCTATACGGTACTTTGCAAAACTGAAATTAAAAAATATATACCCCGCAAAAAAAAAAAAAAATACATAAATTAAAAAAAGGACCTCCCCATCCCAAATAAAGTCAGTAAATACAATACGCTTCCATGCCTAGCAAAGTGCATAGCTAAATAAATATCCTACTAAGACTTCGTCGAGCAAAATAACAATACATGGAATTTAAAATGTCCAAGAGTGGATGTCACGTCACCTTTTGTTTATGGAGTCGAGTTTTGAACTGCATTACCCACAAAGCCCCGCGGCTCTTTGGCCCCGCCCCTCCTCACCACTCCAGCGCGTTCATGCGCCTCCGTGGGGCTCCTCAAGTCCGCACAGTGCACCAGTAAGCGGAGAGGAGCGCCGCGCTAACGACGAAAAGTTTGGGCAAAGGAATGGGCAAATGCGAGACGACCGCTTTTCTTTCCCTTTTCACCATTACGATGACGATAGCACGGAAGAGGATTTAAAAGGATCTACTCAAGCCTGCCAGCATCGCAACATTTTGAGGATTTGTGCACTCTTTTGGGAATTTTTCTAGCGGAGAAAAAAAAACTTCTGCGTTGTCTTCGGAGTCGGACGGCGAAAATAAAAATGTGTTCTTCCGCACAGCCGAGCATTTTAGCGGGTTATGTGGTGTTTTTCTTGCTGTTTTGGGGTACACGAAGCTTGGTTGGCGCGTACACAAGGACGTGTCCCGCTCCGTGCGCTTGTTTTGGGGATCTCGTGGACTGCAGTCGACTGAAAAAGGGACAAATCCCAAAGTCTCTCCCGGAATGGACCGTACAACTGTAAGTCGATTCATTTTACGCATTTTCTTTAAATGAAACTTAAAAAAAAAAGTTTTACTGTAAACTTGACGCTCAAACGAGCAGCGGACGGCGAGTTTTGGCACGGAGATGAGCCACATTCCTCTCCCAGGGAAAAGTGGCTGGCTTGGAAACCACATGAGGAGCAGACTATTTGCAAAGACTGGTGAATTTGCCCCTTTATTGTGTGACTCAGGCTAAACTCTGCACATCTCTGGAAAATTCTCATACGTTTAAGAGAGGTTTATTTACGAATGGCCCTCACGGCAATAAGTGGGGCACCTGGGGGCCACAGAAGTTTTTTTTGTTTTTTTTTTTTACACATCAATGCACCTTTGTGCAAGGGAGAGGAATTGTAAACCAATCTCCTCAGTGCCTGCTGGTTTGTTGTTGTTGTAAAGTGTTGAGAGTGTGTCGAGACAGTGTTATTAGCAAGTTTTATACACACACTTGGGTTGATTGATTGTTAAAAATCCAGTTCAGTTGTCAAGCGTCAATATCACAATTTAAATCAGATGGACTATCTGTTTCTCATTTGCCCACTCGGAAGCAGCCAAAAGATTACAGATAATTCATTTTACTGGACTTTTTTTTAAGTGATATGCATAAAGCCAGATCATTATTTTAACTAGCCCGCATTTGGTTACATTTGATTTGAGGCCTTGTCCAAAAAGCTCCCCTCCATTTGAATTCTTCAGGTTGAGCAGGCGCAGCTCTGGAAACTTTTACGTTTGCCAGAAAAAACAGAGCGAGGCCGCCTCGTAATCAAGACTGGCCTTCCAAAGGAAAGAAAGAAAAAAGGAGGGTGGGAGGGTGAGTGTGTGTGTGTGTGTGTGTGTGTGTGTGTGTAGGGGGGGGGGTCCTTTTCACTCTGGCATGCTAATTTACGAGTGGCTCTCCGGCACATCTTAAACCCCTTAAACTGGCGGATCCCCTTTTGTTTTCCAGCACCCCATTATTTCTGCTGAATTAGCAACACCAGAGCCATGGTACTGATTAAGGAGGGGCACGCGGGATTAGTTTGCCATAAAAAGGAGGCGGTGGTGGGGGGGGGGGGGAAGGGAAAGCAGGCAAAGGGAAGAAGAAGCAGCAGCAGCCGTGGAAACGTGGGAGGTTGCATTACATCAGAGTCAAAATGCCCTATTCCCTTTATAGACTTGAAAAACACGCCGTTAAATCGTGAGCGGTGGGTGACAGGCAGCGTCATCCTTTCATCGACTTGTGCATTTCCGAAACGGGACTGAAAGTCTCAGTGTGGTTGTTTTGCTTTGACTGGTGATTTAACCCCACTTCGGGAAGAACAAAAATGCTACATAAGCACACAACTTTTTTTTAATGAGGATAAAATACTTTTGATATGATTTGACTGTGGGAAAACCAAATATTTTTGGGGGGTTTTATTTAAGTTGAAGATGCTGTTGCCCTCCTGTAGACTGCTAACTAGTTAGCTCGACAGCGCCCCCGCTGATCAGAGCCAGGTAGTGCGCTCCAATTTGCCTCAATTGCTTTCCCGGCAGAGCAATCGTTGCGAAATGAGATTTCATTCACTTTTCGGCCAAACAGGGTATAATTTAGCTTAAAATGTACGATCATTAATGACGACGCAAAAACGCAAGTGCGATTTTTTTTTTGCAAGCTGAGCGAACCGGCAGATTTCACCCTGATCCGAGATTCGTCGCCGTCAAGTGCCCGGCGGTATCTCCATCCAACAAACAGTAATGACAGCTCTTTCGACTGAGGTGTAACTCCTTCATTCGCTTTTCAGCTCCTGATAAGAGCGCCGAGTCGCGCGTTCTCGCATACGATACAGGCCGCAGCCTGTATATGCTTGTGTTATCTCGCCGCCCCCCCGGCCTGCTTTGTGAGGGAAGTGGAAGTGTCGGAACTACTCTGGGGTTTATCTCGGCTTCGTGATAGGACACCTTTCCCAATATGGCCTCCAGGACTGGAACTAAAACAACAACAATGCACAGCTGCATTCTTTGAAAGGCGAAAGGAGTGGTTCAATTTCAACAGCAAAAAAAGGTAAACACCAAAACCAGGCGACCTGAAAGTTAAACAGGGGTGTTCCAAACGTATGCAAGTGTAGCTTTTCCCCGACATTGTGAATATATTACGAGGCTCCGCCCCCCTCCTTGCAGCGTAACTTGATGGATTCCAGATGAGGGGGGGCGCAAAGAGAAAAAAGGGTCTGGCACCACAGTGTTGATGGTGCGCAGCCGCGTCAATAAGTCCACGGCTTTATAGTGCACGAGGCCCCGGCTTGGCAGGCTTCTCTCGTCGGTTTTGAGGCGCCTCTTCAAAACAACCCCCCCCCCCCAAAAAAAAAGAAAAACTCACGCACCCCTTCTGATTCGCGGCCAAGTACAGCTCGAAGTAGGCTGGGATGAATTTGAGCTCCAAAATGACGTCCCGGCCAAAATCAAGATCTCTTGGAACGCCATAACAAGCTTAAAAAAAAAAAAAAAAAAAAAATGGCAACCAGGTGGCTTGACTTGCTTTCCAGACAGTTGACTGCACACCTTTGCAGAGATTTTCCTGAAGGTACAATACCTTAATTTATTGCCCCCATCTAACAAACTTTTTTTTTTTTTACTCCCTACCAAATGTCTGTTATCCATTTATATGGTCGAGAAAGAAACACGAGTCGAAGGCCGAAAATCTCAAGTCTGGTTTCGACTTCCACTCGCGAGAGCCGAGTCGTCCCCGAGTAGCAGAGCCCCTTTGTTGCTTTTTGGGCCAGATGCGGCCTGGCGATGAGGCGGGCTGTTTGGCATGCGCTTTCTCTCATGTGTCGGAAAGACAGACAGACGGACGGAAAAACATGAGGCAACGCTCGGCCTTCTTTACAACCTCTTGGGCTCAAATGCGAACACGTTTTCGTCGCCAGTTGGGAGTCATTTCTTAAAATACTTTGCTGCTTTTGTGTTATATCGAGTATACTCTCTTCCGATGGGGTCGGTTTTGTTATTTCTTCATGGCGGTTTTTCTGAGGAGAGTAGCGAGTACACACATACACACATAAATATAAGACGACCCCCACTTTTTCAGTCTTATTTCAATGCAAAAAACACCGTCTTATATTCGGGCCAATGTGGTAGTTACTTTACTGATTACTTGATTTAAAAAAAAAAAAAAAAACTTGACTACCTGAACCGATTACTTAATTGAAAAGTCGCTAAGTTAGATGACGTGTTACTTTGCGAGCACCCGTGCTTCGCATTAAAATGTCATGCGGTTTTATCAGTGACGTCTAAAAGTTTTTTTTTTTAAATTGAAAATAAAAAAAACTTTTTGAGCCAGCGTTATTATTTTTATGAAAAAAAAACGGATTTTTTGGGATTTCATTTTACATTAAAAAAAACTAAATATTTAACGATTACTCAACATTTATCAGAAACATTATTTATAAATACAGTTACCGTATTTTCCGCACTATAAGGTGCGCCTAAAAGCATTCAATTTTCACAGTTGCACCTTATAATCCGATATAGACATGGATCAATATTCAGAATTTTTGGACATAGTATTTTAAATGTTCTGTAAAACGCTTTGTTGCAATGGTTGTGAAAGATCTATATCAATAAAGCTGTATTTTATTGTATTCCATTTAGCGCAGCTCCATCTAGTGGATGCATAACGCAACCGTAGCCACTATTGCAGCTTCTATTTGGTGCGCCTTATAATGCGGTGCGCCCTACATATGAAAACATTTTTAAACTAGGCCGCCCGTTGACGGTGCGCCTTATACTCCTGAGCGCCTTATAGTGCGGAAAATACGGTACATGTGGGAACCTCCTGCGGTCACGATCTGGTGTGAATTTCTTTTTAAGGTTGAATGCTGCTTATTATAATTGTCATGGTGTTCTTGAAGCTAAATTTCATTGTGTCGACAGCACAGGGTGTGCAACAAACATTTTCTTTTTCAATATATTTCAATGCGCCGGATTTTCAGTTTCTTCTGTGCTCTATATATATATATATATATATATATATATATGTACATTTGTTTCGTTACGTTAGTGAGCACTGTCGTGTGGGGAACAGGTGTCCTGTTGTGTTATATTATTCATTAACCAGTTTTACAAAACTATTATTATTTCAGTCCCCTTCTTTGTTTGTACTGTGAACGCGCAAGCGTAATTACTTTTGTGTCGTACGGCCCGTGGCGCATCCTAAATTTTTCTTCTTTTCCTTAGGGACCTGAGCCATAACAAATTGCAGGTGCTCCACAGCGCTTTGTTTTCCAAGCTGCGACATCTGAATGAAATGTAAGTGCGGCGCGTCCGGGAATAAACACTGAAAGGTTTCTGTCACCGTCTCAGCCCGTGCCTTGTTTTTAACCGCTTTCCCTTTTTCGATTTCACAGCAAGCTGAGTCACAATGAACTGAACTCGGTACCTGATTTGGGGCAGTACGCTTCGAACATCACCACGTTGGTTCTGTAAGTAAAACCGTCAATGGTGGTGGGGGGTGGGGGCGTGGATTGAGGTGTATTTTGGGAGTTGACCTGTCACGAGTAGCGCAGCTTTCACTTTGGAGAGGGTGCGGAGGTTTTTGGCCGACTCGGTTCCCCAGAGTGGGCAGTCGCAGACATGGCAGCTGGGCCCCAGACAGGTCACGTGGTCATAAAACAAATGCCAATGGAAATGTTTTGTTTCATGGCTCCTTGCTGCATGTATTTTTAACTCGCTAAGAAAGATGGGAATCAGTAACTGGCTATTCTGGACTAACTGTTTTCGTTTTAGTGTTAACAGTGAAGCCTTTCGATTTTTTTGGGGGGGGGGGG